GTTTATGTACATGGACCGAATGGGAAGTGGTTAAGGTGGTAACTAAACTCACTGAGTACCTTATCTGCAATTAATAAGCCTCAGAACCTGTGTAATTAATATGTGTTCTGTTTTAAAGGGATGAGGTGGCAACCCTAGTCTAGATGCCTAAATGTATGAGTTGCTGCCATGTTCATGGCTGATTAGCAATTTGTGTTACCAAGCAATTGAGCAGGTGTACCTAATAAAAAGGACGGTGAGTGTATAATAAAAGAGACCCATGCTGTCAATGTGAGCTTTCTGTTAGCTTAGAAGAGAATTTCAGATACACTCATGACAACAAGTAAAATAAAACATTTCCACTGGGCATGCTAGACACTTCAGTATCTCCTCCAAACATAAGGAGGTAAGATGGATAATGAACACTATTTACATATATCATGATCTCGCTAACTTGCAAAATCAATTTCACAAAAAAGTGTAAAGAAATATATATACACCTACATATACAATTAGTATGTGAAATCAAAATTTGCATCCAGCTCTGGTCTATCAGCACCATCTGTTTCTTATCTCATTCATCTCACCAGTATGTCAGTTTGCAGCAGCCTCATTAACATTTAGTCATGCTGCAGTAACACTTCTCTTTCCTTCTTTTAACAGATAATGCTTTATAAAATGGAAGACATTTCTGAGTAAAAGCATTAATTATTTTTTCAATATATTATGAATATATTGATGAAGTGGGATTTTGCTTAAAGAATAACTAAAGGCAAAAGTGTTTTGTTTTTTTGCTTTGCTTTTGGATAGATTGGAGAAGTATTAGGACAGTCAGGTTTTCATTTCTACCTGTGCCCCCCGTTAAGGAGAGTTGCTATATTTTTGTCCAGTGAACGTGAAAGAAAATCTCAAATTTTGGGTTGTCACCATAAAAGAGAGGAAATACCCCAAAGGGAACTCTAGTTTTGGAGACAATAAGGAATTTCCTCCTCATTCCTGTTTTAACTATGGGACAAGAAGTGAAGGGGCATTTCCCCCAATGGGACACAGAGGACAAACGTTACTCGATTCAAAATGAAAAAAGAGTTTTGCCTTTAGTTCTACTTTAAGGCTCCATTCACACTAGCTCCTAGCAGCAGCGTTTAGATTTTATTTCTGACTCTAGAAGAAACTAATGTTATCCTATGGGGTTGATTTACTAAAGGTAAATATACTGTGCACAGCAAGTGCAGTCCCTTTAGATCCAAGGGGAAGCTCTGAAATGAGGCAAAGCTTTGCTGATTTCTTTTATCCAGCCACGTGCAAGCAAAAATGCTGTTTTGTTTTTTGTTTTTAATTTTCCTGGCATGTTCCCCTTAGAATCTAGAGCAACTGCACTTTGCCTATTTGCCTTTAGCAAATCAACCCCACAGTGTCCATGCACACTTTGTAGTCTAGAGACTTTTTTAAGCTCAACATTTAGGAGCTAAACCCCTTCTGGCTTGTGTTTTTGAGAGAGACTTAACGACAGAAAAAAAACTCTGAACACTCCTACGAGCTCCTAAATGCTGCTAAACGCTGCTAAGAGCTGGCAGCTGAATGTAAAGAAAAGAATGTCAGCATAAAAAAAAAAAAACTGCGTGGGGGACCACCCCAATCCTTAGCAGGCCCTTCGGGTCTGGTATGGATTTTAATGGGTACCCCAAACCAAATTATTATTTTTTTAAACGGCATGGGGATCCACCCCATAATCCATACCAGACCCTTAGGTCTAGTATGGATTTTGAGGGAAAACCCACTCCAAAAAAAAAAAAAACAGCGTAAGGTATCCCCCAAAATTCATACTAAGCTTTTGAGAATGTCAGTGGAAATTGACAGTTGGGGATGATTGGTGCAATGGTGGGGACAGTTACAAGCACTGATCTCCCTGTATGACTTTTAATGAAACAGCTATAAGCCACGTGAGGAAGAGGAGGAGAAACAGCTTCCAGCTTCTACATTGAAAGCATACAGGGAGATTGGTGCTTGTCACTATCCCCACCGCTGCACCAGATCTGTCCATCATATTTCTCTTTCTGGGCCCCCCTGTGCTCTCCTCAGTGCCCAGCCCCTTCCACTATCCTCCACACTAATAGGATAGAGAGAGGCTTGATCTGGTCTGCCTCCTACTGTATACAGAGCAGATGGAAATTCTGACATGCTTATCCCTGAGCCAGTGAGCCGGGGACCATCCATGTGAGTCCATTCTTCCTTTCTTTCCTTTCCTTTCCTTCCCTCCCTCTCATTTACCTTCCCTCCCTTCCTCCCCTCCCTTCCTTCCCTCCATTCTCTCCTCCCTTCCTTCTTTCATTCCCTCCCCTTCCTTCCTTTCTTTCCCTCCTCTCACCTACCTACCTTCCTTCCTTCCCTCCTTTCCTTCCATCCATTACCTTCCTTCCTCCATCCATTCCCTCCCTCTCTTACTTCCTTCCCTCCCATTCTTTCTTCCTCCATCCATTCCCTCCCGGTCTGCATACAAGACCAATGGTTGCATTCACCTTTGCAGACAAGCAAGGGGGTGCATGGGTGCTTTTTTTTTTTGCACTTGTACACTGACATACATTTTTGGTACCCTGTGATATATGTTGATGTGCACTGTACACTGTGATAGATGTTGGCAGATGTTTATGGGAGACTGTGACAGATGTTGAGCACTCATGAAGATGCAGAGAGTCAATTGGGCTCCAGGACTGGAGCAATCAAACTGAGGAGTGGAGAATTTGATTTTTTTTTGGGGAAGAAAACTCCTGGTAAGTGTCCTGGATCTACCCCAGATAATCAGAGCAAAAGGTCAGAGTCAGCAATTACTTTTGAAAGTTCAGGATCAATCAGAACTTCTTCAAGATCTTGACATTCTGAGACACATTTTATTTCAGAGCCCTCGCTGACTGTTCCCCTCAAGAGAGGATTGTCCAGGTAGCCCAAATGTGGATACCTAGAGAGTGTAAGAGCTGGAAACAGCAACTTGGTGAACACCTGAGATGCGGAGGACAGGCCACATCTTGACACAAATGTAAGCATTTAGGGCTTTGGGCTCTAGAATCACTTTTGGAAATAGTGAACAGGTTAGAGTAAAACCTCTGAAAGTGCTCATCAGAAGAGGGTGGGGCAATGACCCCTTAGTCCAAAAAACAGAGAGCACAAGATGGAGATGGATCAGGCACAGAATAGGTACTGGAAAGCTGGAATTGAAAAAGCAAGGAGACATGGAAGAAACTCAATCTTGTTACCCTGAGTAAACACCTCTTGTATCCAAACATTGAGAAAGCAAGACTTGCAAGCATCCATAAAGGCCACTCTGAAAAGTGGGAGTGCACCCCAATGCCAAGAAAGGCTTGCTGGTGGATTTTGGAGACTTGGAATGCTTAATATAGTGGGAGGAAAAGAAGCCAAACTTGAGAGAGTCTTAAGTGGATGGCTAGTGTCAGGGCTCCAGGGTATGATCAGAGGTATGTGAACTGACGCAGGGAAACGCAGGCTTCAGATATGTTATAAACAATATAATTTATTAACACTAACTATACATAAACGCAGTGCAATACTAAAAACATAACACAGTGCAAACGAACCAAACCAAACCACCCACAGATAACAATACATACAATGCAAGCATCGTCAGGCAGGCCGGGTCAATAACAATCGGGCAGGTAGGAACAGGAGGAGCAGGCAGAGAGTAGTCAGGTCACGAGCCGGGTACAGGAACTAACGGGCAGGTAGGTACAGGGGGTCAGGCAGAGAATGGTCGGGGTCACAAGCCAGGGATCAAACAGGAGAAGTCAGCAGAGGTCCGGATCAGGCAGGGTCAGCAATGAATCAGTCAGACAGGGACAGGAACAGGGATGCAGGTAACAAGATACAGGGGCCCAGGAAAAACACACACCAAGGCCCAGACTGCAGGTCTGGCCATCCCTTAAATACACCTGCATAATCATCTTCAGGTGTTTGGCTGGCTGCAGGGTTGAGTCTCTGATTGCTGAGAGCACCCGCTGGCCAGACCTGGTACTGCAGCCCACAAGGCAGGTGAGTCCCACCATTACTGGCAAGTCCATTCCTGACAGTACCCCCCCCTCAAGGATCAGCCTCAGGACGCTCCAAACAGTCCTAGCTGGGCAAAATGTTCCACCGCCCGGGTCTGGTAACTGGCGGGATATCAAAGACTGGCACATCGGGCAGGACTCCGGGCAGCGGCACATCGGGCTGGACTCCGGGCAGCGGCACATCGGGCTGGACTCCGGGCAGAGGCACATCGGGCTGGACTCCGGGCAGAGGCACATCGGGCTGGACTCCGGCAGAGGCACATCGGGCTGGAGGCAGAGGCACATCGGGCTGGACTCCGGGCAGAGGCACATCGGGCTGGACACTGGATCACCAGGCGGAGCAGCAGGCACCGGCCACCAGGCGGAGCGACAGGCATCTGGCCCCCAGGCGGGGCGGCGGGGCGGCGGGCTCCGGGCCCCCAGGCGGAGCAGTGGGCACCGGGCCCCCAGGCGGGGCAGCGGGTGCCGGGCCCCCAGGCGGAGCGGCGGGCCCTCAGGCGGAGCGGCGGGCACCGGGCCCCAAGGAGGGGCAGCAGGCACCGGGCCCCCGGGCGGAGCGACAGGCATCGGGCCCCCAGGCGGGGCAGCGGGCGCTGGGCCCCCAGGCGGAGCGGCGGGCACCGGGCCCCCAGGAGGGGCGACAGGCATCGGACCCCGAGGCGGGGCGACGGGTGCCGGGCCCTCAGGCGGGGCGGCAGGCACCGGCCCTCAGGAGGGGCGGCAGGCACCGGGCCCCCAGGAGGAGCGACGGGCGCTGGGCCCCCAGGCGGAGCGGCGGGCGCTGGGCCCCCAGGCGGAGGGACGGCAAGCACCAGGCCATCAGGCACCACAACGGGCATCGGGTCACCAGGCATCAGGTCATTTGGCTCGCCAGCGGGCACCGCGTCATCTGGCAAGGCAGTGGGCACCGAGTCACCAGGCACGACAGTGGGTTCCGAGTCAACTGGCATGACCACGGGCACTGGGTCAGACATTGGATCGTCTGGCCCGACAGCGGGCATCGGGTCACCAGGCATGACAGCGGGCACTGGGTCATCAGGCATGGGATTGTCTGGCTCGACAGCGGGCATCAGGTCACCAGGTATGACAGCGGGCACTGGGTCACCAGGCATCAGGTCATTTGGCTCGCCAGCGGGCACTGCGTCATCTGGCAAGGCAGTGGGCACCGAGTCACCAGGCACGACAGTGGGCTCCGAGTCAACTGGCATGACCGCGGGCACTAGGTCAGACATTGGATCGTCTGGCCCGACAGCGGGCATCGGGTCACCAGGCATGACAGCGGGCACTGGGTCATCAGGCATTGGATCATCTGGCTCGACAGCGGGCATCAGGTCACCAGGCATGACAGCGGGCACTGGGTCATCAGGTACCAGATCGTCTGGATCGACAGCGGGCATCGAGTCAACTGGCCTAATGGAATCAGCAGGCTGGATCAGTTCATCAGGCTGGGTAGAGACATCAGGCTGAATGGAGGCCTCAGGCTGGGTAGAGGCCTCAGGCTGGGTGGAGGCCTCAGGCTGGGTGGAGGCCTCAGGCTGGGTGGAGGCCTCAGGCTGGAGGCCTCAGGCTGAATGGGCCTCAGGCTGGGTAGGCATCAGGCTGAATTGTGGGCGCCGAGGCACCAGGCTGCACCACCGAAGGCAGGTTCTCAGATGGGAGGCTGACCGGTTTGGATACTGGCAGGATGGTACTGGTTGGAAAGAACTTTCGCCTTTTCCTGGTTTTAGTTACCGGAGCACTGTAAGTAAGCGCAGGTTTGTAAACAGATGGAGCAGCTGGAGACAGAGAAGAGCTGGAGGATGGAACAGGGGAGGGAACAGTTGCTACAGAGGGCTTCTTTACAGGGTTAAAGGCAGGATAGGTGCAGCGAGTGGGAACAGGGTACTGACATGCGGTAGATAGCAGGGTATACTGGGCTGTAACTGGAGGTGCTGTTGGGAATGCAGGAATAGAGCTTTGAAGAAATAGATTAGAAGCAGGACTGGGTTTTTGCAAGCTGATTGAGGCTGGGTGCAACAAGTCTGACCATGTCTGCAGTATGGGTTGAACAAAGCTCCGCTTACACAAAGCCTGTCTGACCAAAGACTGCACTGCGTTTATACAATCCCTTAATACCTGTGGTGGACATGCAGCATAATGCTCCAAGAAGCAATCCACATCATCCTCTAATAACCATACCAGGGACTCTACCTGGTCTGCACTAAATGGTGGCAAAAAGTCATTCCTGCTTTCAGGGGTACCAGATGAAGCCAACTCTACACAAACCTGAATCAAAGGTTGCACCTCAGAGAACTCTGTGCCCTGATCTACTAGAACATGAGCGATCCGTATACATTCTAGCAGTTGATCCCGGGTATACTCCCTCAGAGCCTGATAAGCATATTCTCTGTCATCAAAAAACAGCAGCGACAAATACACAACCTCATCAAGATCCATCCTTCCCAGCAACAAGCCAAGATGGCTTCCCTGTGCAGCCACTTCTGGTCATGATTGGCCTTGGTGTAATGTCAGGGCTCCAGGGTATGACCAGAGGTATGTGAACTGACGCAGGGAAACGCAGGCTTCAGATATGTTATAAACAATATAATTTATTAACACTAACAATATATAAACGCAGTGCAATACTAAAACATAACACAGTGCAAACGAACCAAACCAAACCACCCACAGATAACAATACATACAATGCAAGCGTCGTCAGGCAGGCCGGGTCAATAAGAATTGGGCAGGTAGGAACAGGAGGAGCAGGCAGAGAGTAGTCAGGTCACGAGCCGGGTACAGGAACTAACGGGCAGGTAGGTACAGGGGGTCAGGCAGAGAATGGTCGGGGTCACAAGCCAGGGATCAAACAGGAGAAGTCAGCAGAGGTCCGGATCAGGCAGGGTCAGCAACGAATCAGTCGGACAGGGACAGGAACAGGGATGCAGGTAACAAGATACAGGGGCCCAGGAAAAACACACACCAAGGCCCAGACTGCAGGTCTGGCCATCTCTTAAATACACCTGCATAATCATCTTCAGGTGTTTGGCTGGCTGCAGGGTTGAGTCTCTGATTGCTGAGAGCACCCGCTGGCCAGCCCTGGTACTGCAGCCCACAAAGCAGGTGAGTCCCACCATTACTGGCAAGTCCATTCCTGACAGCTAGGGTCTAGTGAAGCAAAAAGGACACTTCTGAGAAGGGGTAGAGAACTTGTGAGCAGTGCCAGGACAAGGTAATTTAGTTCAAGCTTTAAAATAGTAGCCCAGCAACTAATATTGTGTAAAGTGTAAGGGATCTTGCTGCCTGGCCAGAAAAGCCTACTCACAAAAGTGATTCTTAAGAGATAGAACAAGTGCAAAGGAAATGCTAACAACTCTTAACCTGGAAAGTCCTCCACAATTTACTTAGCCAGAACCATTCTGGAAAGTGCTCAAGTGGTACTCCTGACTTCCTGGACCATCTACCACTAGACTATATTTTCTAATTCTATTTTTTTTTTTTTTTTACTGAAAACACAAACCACTTTAAAGTATACCCAGTCAAAACTTCAAAATTAGATTTTGGTCCAGATATGCAAAGAAAATTAATGTGAAATCTCTCCAAAACTCTCAGACAAAAAAACAGGTGACCTCATTGGAAGATATCCTCTCAGCTCCTGTATGGGTGATAATAGTAAAATTTTCTGATTCCTATCACTTTTGGTCACAATGGTCATCAGAACAAACAATGACGGTAAATTTTGCTAGTGTGGTAACAAACAGTAATACCAACCTGACAGAGGTTATAACTTTTTGCAACACACAAAAAAAAGTTTGGACTATAGATACACATTAATGTATTAAAGTTTTTTTTTTCTATTTTTATGGAAAGCAAAAATTACTTTTCAATGTAAACTAGAGTGTTTTATTACAATACATTTATTTCGAGGATTTTGTTGGTATTGAACTAAAGTATGGTATGAACTTTAAAATTCCTCTCGCAATTAATTTGAAATTGTTTTGATTGCAAATTAGGTTGTTTTCCAATTAGGAAAAGCCATGTGATAACTGTATCACCACTACATAGACTTAAGTCTCAGGCTTACCTGCTTGGACTCTTATCCTTTTCTGCATTGTACCTATTGGAAATACAGTAAATGTACACAAATAGGTACCAGCGTCTTCTTCTGATGCATTTTCCAAAGTTAAAGAAAAGTCTGATGATGAATTCTCAAAAAAGAATATTTTACCCTTGTACATTTCAAAAATATATGTTCCATAAGTCTTATGAGTAGAAACAATTGTTTCCCATGATGATCCATTCCATTTCAGCCAGGAAGACTGAATTAAAGTCTCATTGCTAGAATATATGCAGTCCAAAGTTATACTCTTTCTGAGTAATACTTTTGTATCCACAAAGTCTTCAAGTAGAACATCTAAAAATAAAAGCAATATTATGTTTGAAATTATACAGTGACAGCACCTGATAATGGATTCAGTTTGTGCACTTCAGTCCACTATGCTCAGTGAATACAGATATTGCATCAAACATTACATTTAACTGCAATTAATGACCATAAATACTAAGAATACATTTACATGTGTACATTTCTTACGTTTAATTTGCAGTAGAATCAATCCAGCAAAAAACACCATCTTCTTAAGCGTGAACTCTTTACATGTGCAAGAAAGTGAAAATTGTTTTTCTGTCTTGAAAGGCTGCATGATCATTTCCTCTATCTAGTTTCCAAAATTAGCATTGAGACCAGCATGGAAAGGATGATGTCTTGATACCACTGTGCCCTTCGTTGTAAATTGCTATAGCAGTCTACAAGTATCTAGGATAAAAATTTCAATATTTCTATGTGAATGGTTCTTTATTTAATACAAGATCTATAGCCAACCCACTAAATCCAGTTATTACAGTATATTGTACATACATATGGACTGTTTACATGGCAAAATATTTGAAATTCTGTTCTGCCACTTTGTGATTTACCCACCCCTGTAGCACTGTTTTATGGATTCAAATGATTACAGAGTGCAGTATGTATATTATCATTAATCGTGACTGTGCTGAGGATACAGTATGTTAATACAGCCGAACATGCAGCTGTGCTGTATCTGACAGTTGCTCTATCAGATACTAAGATTGAGAACCAATTAGCATGGTTCTTCATCGTGATCACTATGACAGCCAATCATAGTGACTAAATGATAATATTTACAAACAAGCCAATGCCAGTTGGCTCAGCTGTCATTGTAAAAAGCTAAATAAAATCAAATGAACAAATTCCTCCTGCGCTTAAAGGAAGTGGTTCCTAAAAACTAAAGCAGCCAACACTCTAAACTGATACCTTCACAGTGATAGAATCAAACTAATAAATTAGTGCAGTGCTAAAAAAATATTATACCAATAATAAAATCCATATACCATGCACTAATAACATGCCATAAAATGATGAGTGAATAAAATCCGAAATATAAAAACTGTGCATAAGGTGCTCAAAAAGTGTATGAGGTCATTAACACGGCCTCTAATAAGCGCAATCAATCACACATATAAATATAAATGAAGTGAAAAAAAACCCTTTGTTATTAAATACCCCCTAATCAAATTAAATATAACATATGTCAGCTGTCATTGTGCCTTGCACAGAAAGAGACCAATCTAGGGAAAGCGATATGCAGACTGTAAAAGTACATGAATGAAAATGTTCTATAAAAAATATTATAAGCTTTTAAGTGTAAATTTAATTTTTTTCACATTGTTGTCAGTTTGCCAGCTTATAATACAACATCTGAAAGAGGTACTGTATTTATTAAAATAGTGTATGAAATAAGAGCCTTAAAGACAAAAACTAAAATAAATACTCTAGGGGAACAACTTTCAAAAATAGGAAATTCCTAGATGTGACAAGGCAAAACAGGAAAGCATTTGACAGGGACTTACCTGTTCTTCGGGTATCCAGCCACACAGTCAGTTGTAAACTGGCCATCGTTGTCTCGTCCTACAAAGCATTTTTCCTCTGCTTCTTCTGCCCCACTTCTAGGCTTTCACTTCTCTTTGGCTACACTGTTGGAAAGTTCCACTATGAAGATTTATCTCCAGAGTTCACATACCTGCAGCATCATTTCTTAAATGCCATCAAGTACCCTGAACACCATTCAGAAGAATGGCTGAGCACAATTGTGCACCAGAAAACATCAAGGAACATTCTGATTGGTAATTTAAAATTTTAAAAGTAAGTTGCTACTTTCTCAAATTGTCCACTGAAGAGTTTGTTGGCTCAGGAGTGCTCCTTTTCACTTTGTTTTGCATAGGCCTATGCTGACCTAATTTGCTTGAATGATACTTGCCCTGAGCCTAATTGTGCTTCCTATTTGTTTGTTTCACTTTCTGGATTTTCGATCCCAAGCTCACAACACATGAAACAGCAGCCTGCTGAGGTTTTCATATGG